TACATTGTCTTTAGTGTGAAGTGTATTCAGGCTTTGCTCATGTCTTACTTAATAGGATTGTTTATTTTCTTACTGCTGAGGTCTTGTAGTTTGTTTTGGTTTGTTTTTTGCTTCTTTTGAGGCACTGTGTAACCCAGAGTGGTCCGAACCTCACTGTGTAGATCAGGTTGGCCTTGAATTTGCTATCCACCTGCCTTTACCTCCCAAATGCTGAGATTACAGGTGTGGCTTATTGTTGAGTTTTAGGGTCTTGGGTTTTTTTTTTTTTTTTTTTTTTTTTTGGTTTCTTTGTTTTGTGATTATTTGTATAACAGTCCTTTTACAGTATATTTTGCAAATATTTTTTCCCAGTTTGTGGTTTGTTTGTTTTTTTTTTTCTGTCTTGATCAACATTGCACTTTTTTGTATCAAGAGTTGTGCTAACATTATCAAGTGAAATGAAAAGAAAATATTTCTTCCTTTATGTGTGATTAGAAGTTTTCCTTAAGTGTTTGGTAAATTTGTTGGTGAATCCTTCTAGACCATGTCCTTTCTTTGTGGGAATAATTTCTAAAATGTGATACAGTAAGACTGCTAAGGTTTTCTACTTTTTTATTGTGTCACTTTAGTACATTATAGTTTTCCTTTTCTAAAAGTGCTTACGATATCCTGGGTTTTTTGTTTGTTTTTGTGGTGCTGAGCAGTGAACTCAGGACTTTGTGCAGGCAGGTAAGCTCTACCACTTGAATCACACCCCCAGCCCTCTGCTGTTTTTTAGAACAAGTATATGTAGTCTGTGTTCCTTTTTTTTATTCCTACTTCTGCTTATTTGTGCCTTTTCTCTGTCATCTTATTAGGAATCAATTTACTAATTATTAATTTTTAAATAATATTTTTTAATATTTTAATCCTTTCTAGTCTACATATTCTATTACATAAAATCCATCTCATTGTTATTTCTTTTCTCCTATTTTCTTAATTTAATTTACTTGGGGTTTTGTTGTTGTTGTTGTTTTATTTGTTTGGTTTTGTTTTGAGACAGCATCTTGCTATGTATCTCAGGCTTATCTGGAACTTGCTGTGTAGCCCAGGCTGGCCTCAAATTCATATATTTTTATAATTCTTTGAAGTGGATAGCTAACTCATTAATTTGTATGGTATTTGGAGGGATTATAGATTTCTCTCTATATTGGATTTAGCTGTACCCTCACAAGTTTTGATATAATGCTATTTTGTTATCCAGTTTAAGATATTTCATAATTTCAATTGCGATTCCTTCTCTGACCTGTGAGTTATTTATAAGAATACTCCTGTCTATTTAGGCATGAAGATTTTTCTGGTTATTTTTTTAAGCTGTTGGTTTCTAGCAGATTTGTTGTGTTCTAAATCTAATCTGAATTGTTCAGTTTTTAAAAAATTTCCTCATGGCATACGCTTTTTAAATTTACATCCTACAAGAAGATTCAGAGAATAATGTGGGACTTCTCAATAATAAGCATTTACTTAAATTCATAATGGTGCTATTGACCCTGTGTTAAGTGCATTTGCTTTCTGGGGTTTTGTTGCTGCTGCTGCTCGTTGTGGTAGATATATTAGATATTGTCTGTTTTTTGGATAATTTGCTGTGTGGCTAAGAAGAGGTTTTTGTTTTGTTTTGTTTTTTTATAAATTAGTACTCAAGACACTATTATGTTGTTTCAAAGTATTGCAATTGAAAAATATATCTAACAGTAGGCATTGCAACTATGGCTTATAGACAAAACAGTTAATTTTGAGTTATTTAACTTAAAAAAATCCCATTTCTCTTTAAATTTCTAATTGGAAATAATTGTAGATTCATTTTCCTTTTTGTAGCAATTTTCTGTGTCTGATGTGTCAGTATATGGTGAATGAAGCTCATTTAAATGATATTAGTCCTCTTATCTGACAGGTTTTACTTTTAGGTGAGAGACTTTTCTGGAAACAACAGTATGGATCTTTGTTAATGTTTGTGTTTGGGGATTGAAAGCAAAATAAGCATTAGTTTTGCCTTCCTTACTCTTTCAAAAGCTGAAGTTGATTTTTACCAACAATACCTCTTTACCACTGATTTCTAAAAATGTCCTCTTTGGTAGCCCCACTATAGAAGCATTTAGTTACAAGCAAATATTTTAGAAGTTGTTAGCATTTTTGTAAAGGTTACAGAAATATTCACCTAACTTAAGGGGAAATAATAACCTTACTTTAAATGAGTCAGGGTTTCTATATTAGAATATGCATATTTGTATGTATAAACATGTCTAACAGTGCTGAATTAATGGCTTACATGGGGATTTTAAATATGTGATTGCTATATCGTATACAGCACCTTGTCATGATAAAATGGTGCCTATTACTTAGCAATAGTTTTATATACAGTTTGGCAAAACAATTTTTTGAAAGGTAAGACATTTAAAGAAATGTTCCATTTTAAAATGGAAATTGGTTTCTCAAAGTATTAATTATCTTATGCTTGGCAGGCCTTTAAATTATGATACACATTAAAGCCTACTCAAATGAAGTTAGTAATGTGATATCTGGTAGGCAATAATAGGTACATGAACTAGAAATAACAGTATTTTAACAGTATATATCTATATCTATATATCTATATCTATGCACTATCTAACTGAAACAGTTAAGGAATTTGTTTAGGAATTGTAGTTATTAGATAGTTACATTTGAGGATGGGGCACACTGTGTAGTGTGCTGGCAAACTTCCTGAAGTGCATATGCAAAGTAATTGCATGCATATTGCTCTTCAAATGTCAGCCAGCTTTTATTCTTTTCCTTTTTGAGCATCTATTTGTATGGAAGTGATTATTCTTACTTCTAGAGGGAGTTTATCAAGCTTTCTGTGAACATTTGTTAAACCGCTATATATAGCTAACAGTAAATTTGTGGTAACAGCTATGGTTTAAGACTTTGTGAGCTAGGTTAACTTCTTATTTGTCAAATGAGGTTTCCTATGTTTTGTACTTGAATCCAGTAAACAAATGTCCTTAGTCATGTTAAAATTTATTAGTATAAGTCATCATTTACATTGCAAATGTAAAAAGGAGTTTGCTATGTTGGTTTAATTCAGTATTGTGCTCATTTGTTATTAACATTCTGTTAGTGGCCTTTAGTACTTTATAGGTCCTCTGTAGAGTTTAGGGAACAGAAAATGTTCCTAGGACACTGAAAATCTCGCTTATTTCATAGACTGTAAATTACCTTGAGAGTGTACTTTCTTCTCTTACTAGTCCATGTCAGTGGAAGATAATCTAGAGCTATCTCACTACTGTCATCTGGTGACGACATTATAAGATAACATTATATTTTGGAGAAGTTTTGAATAAGTGTATATTATGGAATTGTTGAAGTAGAATTTTTGAAGTTACTAACTGGATTTTTAAAAAATGGTTATGATAATCTTGACTGTTCTGATTTTTCTATGATTAGACCAATGTAGTACCCTGAGAATTTTCCATTTATTTGTTTTCAGTTTGCAGTTGTTTCCTTTAGATATCATGTAGTGTTCCATTCTCAGATTAATGCGATTGAATTTATTTTATAGCTTTGCTTTGGGCATGGAATATAGGCAATTTTTTTTTCTTTTACTTTGTGAAGACTGGAGTTGTGTCCGTCCATTTATTCACAATGTCCATTAAGAAAAGATTTATAATAAAAGAATAAGATGTATTTATGTTTAGCTTAATTAAAAATAAGACTTTATGTCTTTCCCATATTCTGTACCCTACCAGTTCATCTAACACATTCCATATAGTTCTAAAGATGATGTTTCTATATTCATAGTGTTTGGATGCAATTAAGTATGGACATTTTTATGGTGCACACTTGTAATCCCAGCACTTGGCTTAGGTAGGAGAATTGTGAGTTCAAAGACAACTTGGGTTACATAGTGAGACCCTGCCCCAGAATAAAGTTAAAAAGAAAAATAAAAATGGACTTCTTAGAAGTGGAAATAGGAAGGAAAGGAAGGTGACTTTTATTTTATTTTATGGTTTGATCTTTATTTCCACATGCATTTATTGTTTTTATAAGAAATATGTATATCTTTTTAAAAGTCTTGACTCCAAATTACCTATAAAATAAAGTATATGGCATTAGAAATTCTTTATGGTTCACTTGAAACATTCTGTTGATTGTCATCTTCAACTAAACTATTCCTTATTCCAGACATTCTTCTCAATTCTGTCTCAAAGTCTCTATATCCTTAGGACATTGTTTACATTTTCCCCTTTGCATTATCCACTCTTTAAAGCTAAGTCCAAAGCCCATCCATTCAAACTTGAATAGGTTTCTCCATAGCAAGTACTTGTTACCCTACTGTTTTCTGGTGGCATACATTCTGTTACACCACTCACCAGAAACTACTTTGGTTAGGATTATTTACATATCTGGTTTTCTGTTAGATTTTAGGAATTAATACTTAGGTTTATATCATCTCCTGTCATGTATAGGTATGCACTGAGTATTTCTTCAATTAAATAAATTTTTTATATATGCGGCATTTCTTTTACTTCTTTTCCAGAAACACTATTAGAATTACAATTACAATGTTCTATGTTTTTTTCCTAAAATGTAAGAGTGATTCCTTTGCTGGTTACTATCACATAGTGCAGAAGACAAGAGTAATTGCATATAGCCGGGCATGGTGGTACATGCCTGTAATTCCAACTATTTGGGCGCCTGAGACAGGAGGATCACAGATTTTTTAAGGCTGAGCTATATAACAAGACCCTGTCTCAAAATAAATAATTTAAAAGGGCTCACTCGTGGAGTACTTGCCTACAATTCTTAAGGACCTGGATTCAGCCCCTAGTACCAGGAAAGGAAAAAAAAAAAAAAAAGAAGCTAGTGGTATTTTTCACAGGATTATTATAGAATTTTTATTTTTATATAAGTTTTCAGTTAAGGAACAGTATTTTATAAATAATGCTATTTTTCTTCCTTATAGGTTACTTCCTCAGAATGTTGGTCTTCTCTATGTTGGAGGTTATGAAAGACCCTTTGCACAAATCAAGGTATGATTGTTCATTTTTAGTGTATATTTTAGGCATTCACTTGTCCAGAACCTACCAAAAACTTGCTAATCAGCATATCAACAGTGTTATGAATGTGAATAATTTTATTGCTTTTTGGATATTTCTGCTGAAGTCGTTCATCTTTTCAAAGGAAATGATTTTTTTTAAATTTAGGATTCATTAATAGTATAAGGGAGTATATTTTGAGCAGGTTCAGCCCCTCTATCACAGTACCCCAATCTCCCTCCTTTCCCCCTCTCTAAAACAATATTTGGTGGGTTTCATTATGCTGTCTCCGTACAGATATATGTAGTACACTTTGATATTCTTTGAGTCCCAGTGTCCTCTCCTTTCCTCCTCCCATTGGTTTCCCCACCTCCTCCTGTTAGTCCTCTGCACCCCTTCAGTGCCCCTTTTATACTTGTCTTTTTATTATTGATATTTTTTACATTATTTTAGACCTATATTCTGCAGAGAGTGAGAAAGTGCAATATTTGGCTTTTTGAGCAGTGTAATTGATCTGCAGTTCTATTCATTTTCCTGCAAGCAGCATAATTTCATTCTTTACAGCTGAATAATACTCCATTATGAATATATGCTGCATTTTCTTTATCCATTCATCAGTTGTTAGGCACCTGAGCTGATTCCAGTGCTTGACTATTGTGAATAGTGTTGCAATAAACATGTATGTATATTGATTTACACTCCTTTGGACTTATGCCCAACAGTGATATGGCAGAGTAATAAAGTAACTCTATTTTTTGCTGTTTGGTGAACCTCCATACTGATTTGCAAAGTGGTTGCACCAGTTTACAGTTCCACCAGAAGTGTATAAGGGTTGCTTTTCCCCCACATTATCACCAGCATTTGTTTTCTTGATAATTACTGTTCTGAGTGGTAGATAAGATAGAATTCCAAGGTAGTTTTTGTTTGGATTTCTTTTAGGCTAATGATATTGAAAATTTCTTCATGTGTTTATTAACCGTTTTGGAGGTTTGTTTGATTCATTTGCCTATTTGTCAATTGGAGTATTTGTTCTTCTGTTTTTTTTTTTTTGAGCTCTTCATATATTTTGGATATTAATCCTTTATCTGATGAATGGCTGGCAAAGATTTTTTTTTCCCATTCTGTGGGTTGTCTCTTGATTCTGGTAATTGTTTCCTTTGAAGAAGCTTTTTAATTTGATGCCCTCCCTTTTGTCAATTCTTATTCTTATTTCCTGGGTGATTGGAGTCCTATTCAGAAAATAACTTGCCTATTCTTTATATCTTTAAGAGCTTTTCCGATAGTTAACTTCAAAGCTTTGGGTCTTACATTAAGATCTTTGATTCACCTAAATTGATTTTTGTACAGAATGAGAGATAGAGTCCTACTTTCAGTCTTTTGCATTTAGATAATGAGTTTTCCCAGCACCATTTGTTGAAGAGGATTTCTTTTCTCCACATATGTTTTGGGTTCCTTTGTAAAAAAAATCAAATGGCTGTAGCTGTGTTGATTTATTTCTGGGTCTTATATTCTGTTTCATTGATCTTCATGTCTGTTTTTGACAGTGCCATACTGTTTTTGTTACTGCAGGTCTGTTGTATAATTTGAAGTTCGATATTGAGGTATTTCCAGTGTTGCTGTTTTTGCTTAAGATTGTTTTGGCTCTTTGGGGTCTTTTGTGTTTCCATATGAACTTCAGTATTGATTTTTCTATTTCTGTAAAGAAAACCATTGGGATTTTGATGAGAATTGTGTTGAAACTATAGGTTGCTTTCAGTAGTACAGTCATTTTCACAACATTAATTTTTACCAATCCACAAGTGTGGGAGGTCTTTCCATCTTCTGGTATCTTCTTCAGTTTCTTCAAGATTTTGTAGTTTTCCTTGTTGAGGTCTTTCACTTCTTTAGGTAGTTTTACCTCTTTAGCTTATTTAGGAGCAAACCTAAGTGCTTTCACCTATGTAGTTAGGTTTCTTTTTTTCTTTCTTTTTTTTGTTTTGAGGCTATTGTAAATGGAATTGTTAGAAACCGATTATTTTAATATTCTTGCCCATGTTGACTTTGACCAAAACATCTTAGTGATTAATTCTCAAGAGTACATTTAGACTTACATAGATTAATCTTTTATATCATCATTTTGCCATTAAATTTTTAATAGCTTTAACAGGATTATTTACATATAGTAAACTGTACATGAAGTATACACTTTGATTAATTTTGACATGTTTACTTTTATGAAAACCATCACTACAATCAAGATAATGGACATATAGCATTACTCCAGAAAATTTACTTGTGCCCTTTGAAATTTCTCCATCCTCCCCTTCTGTTTTCCCTTCTAGTCCTCAGGAAATTATTAAACTGATTTATGTCATTATAGATGATCTTGTGTTTTTTAGTACTTTATATAATTAAATCATACAGACCTTATGTTCTCTCTCTCTCTCTCCCCTTCTCTCCCCTCCCTTCCCTCACTCCCTCTGTGTGTGTGTGTGTGTGTGTATGTATGTATGTATGTATGTATGTAGAGAGAGAGACTCTTTCACTCATAATAATCGTCTTCACCCATACTCTTGCATTTATCATTAATCCATTCTTTTTATTGCTAGTATTATTCCATTATGTGACTATTATGCAATTTGTTTATCATTTCAACTGTTGATGGATATCTGGGTTGCTTCTAGTTTGGGGTATTATAGCTAAAGTTCCTATGAATATTTGTGTACAATTCTTTGTATGGACATATGCTTTCCTTTCTCTTGGATAACCAAAACTGCCTCTGTTTTTCTTGGTAAATAGATCTGTTCCATTCATCTGTGTGTCTATCCCTCCACCAATACCACACTATACTGATTAGTGTAGCTTTATAATGGGTCATGAAATCAAGTAGCATGAATTTCCTACTTTGTTCCTTTTTCTGTTATGGCTATTCTAGGTTTCTTTCATTTCCTTATGAATTTCTATAATTCCATCAACTTCTATAGAAGTGCTTTTTGGGATTTTGATTTGAGATTATATTGAATCTATAGATCAGTTCAAAGAAAATTAAAGTCTTGACATTGAATCTTCCAGAATTCATGAAGACGACATCTCTTTAATGTCTCTCAGCAGCAATATTTTCTTGTTTTCAGTTATTTATTGGTCTTGCACATCTAAAAAACAAATGTGTCCATTTTTCATATTTTTGGTGCCATCTAAAAGTATGTTTATTTCAATTTCTGGTTGGTCATTGCTAATATATAAAAAGATGGGTTTTAGTAGCATTTAAAAATTTTATAGGAATTTCTACATAATTATGTGATTTACTGAAAATGACAGTCCTTTTTTTCTGATCTGGTTGCCTTTTATTGCTTTTCCTTTATTGTGTACAGTACAGTGTTGAAGTAAATGGTGGGATCCACATACTTGCCTTGTTCCTAAGGAGAGCATTCAGTTTTTCATCAAAATTGTTTCTATAGTAATATTAGCTAAGAATTGATGAATTAGTTCTAACTAGGCTTTCTTGTAGAACATATTTGCAAAAGGTGGTCAATAAAAAGGAGGATTTGGGCTCATTCTTTTTCTTTGTTTTTATAATTTACCATTAATGCTTTCTGAGAAACGTGAATTTTGGTGATTGTTCAGTTTTCTGATTTTTCTTCACATTTGTTTCTTCAGTATGTGAGCTGTTTTTCTTTTGTATTTGAGGATTATAAATTTAAATTCCTTTACAACAGCACATATAACATATAGTTTGGAAAATAAGCATTTTTCAGAGTAGACTTAACCTACACTGGACATTCAAGATTCATTGTCAGTCACAATATCAACATTAGTAAATGAGAAATTTTATCTTTGTCACCATACCATCAGCACCTTTTTAAATGCCTCCATTAATTTAAACAAATTAAACACTCTAAAAGGCCTCTCATTAGCATATTAAATTGTGGACCCTTTTGATGTTTTCTGGTTCCTTAAGTAATGATAAGCATTCAGGTACAATTTTCCCTTCAGTTTTTAATATTCCTGGAATATGAGTGCTATTGGCAGGAGTCTCTTCATAAACCTCCTTCATCATCCCATTCACTGAATTCAGCTGTATAGCCAGAAATCCTAATAGGTTTCAGCAGGAACATTTCTGACAGCCCTTTTTTTTTTTTTTTTTTTTTTTTCTGTTCAGTGGCTTGGAAAATCCTGTTTCTCCTTATTAGAATTGAAATAACTAAAAACTAAAAGATTCATCTGATATATTTAGGGGAAAGGTTGAGTTTTTGTGTAAGGGTGTGAGTTACTTTGTATCTCAAAAGCATAATTTCAGTATATGGATAAGGGTAATTCCTCTAACACTCATCTGATTCATTTACATGGCATTTTCTTTTTCTGGATCTTTCCTAACAAGCTCAGTGACAGAGGTCAATCTTTTGTCAACCCTTTCTGCCTGATTAATCAACTGTACTGAAAAAGAAAAATCTATTATTTTAGGTTGCCTTTTTCATTTGATACTACTACTGGAAAGGTTTCTCTCATTCACTGTGAAGAGATTTCTTACCCATATTAATTATTGAATATCTTTCATAATTCCTGGTGGCTCTAATTAGATTCCTGTCTAATTATAAGACATAAGTTCATTGGAAAACGATTTTTAAAAAAAAACATAGTTTTAATGCTTGAGATTAGGCAAGAAATTTAAGGTTCATTTCTTATCTTGCTTTGGACCTGACTTCTAGTGAGCATGAAATTCCCAGTATTTGCTATGTTTATTTTTCTTCCATTTATCTAAATGTAATGATAATGTGTTATATGTCATAGATGTTAGGTGTAGCCTTTAAAATAGAGATTGCTTAGCTTTTCTTAAGAGCATATTGGTTATTGATTTGTAAAAAATAAATCAGGATGTGAAATTGCTCACTTGGTTATTAAGGAAAAGACATTCTCATTTATTAACATCGCAGGACTTAAGTTCCTCAGTGTAGGTGGGTTGGTATCATAGTCTCTGTATGCTAAAGAGGTATTTTTCAGTTATATTTCTAAAAAGG